TGAAGAACGAAAGCAATCCCTCGTTTGACTTGGTAGGTCTAATTTTCGAGCTGAAAACCGATTTGCATGGACTCACCTGGGCAATATCAATGTCGCCATGACACCATTCCCCAAATGATTTCCTGAATCGCCGCCATTTTCCAACCAGCTCGCTATAGAATACAACCACGTACAATATCAAGCTGCAACATCTGAGTTAGAAGTAGCAAAACGGAAGACACGTCGGCTTTGGGGGGAAGGGGTATTTTGCACCCTCACTACATTCCTTCGAGTGTTCAGTGCTTTATAAGGGTTGGCGGGTATTTTTCACAAACGTTAACAAGCTCTACAAATTCAAACTTCGACACGTACCACTTCATGGCTTCACAAGGCCTCACAGACCTACACCTGATGGTTCAACACGATTACAGGAAGTAGCGAAAGTGCTAAGTGCTCCCCCACTACAGGTCTAGCTTCGTCAAATGCAATACCTAACGAACATAAGTCAAATGCAAAATTTCAGCAACGGATCAAGAACACGTTCATGCTTAACTTTCACTAAAACATTAACGCAAATTTGTGCCCACCAGGAAAGGTCAACAGGTCAGCCTGGCCATTTGCAATGAGATGCACATCGTTGTACCCGCCTTCGAGACGGTGAACTCAAAACTATCTTCAAAATTTGCGGAACGATTCCCTGAGCGGAGTTATAGAGGTTTTTCACTACTGTTTCTCTTTCTTTAAGACGCGCTGGCGCCGGGGCGTTGGCACCTGTAACGCGACACACGACGTCCTCTGTGCAAAATAGGTATCACATTCGTGTTCAAGGTGTCTAATAACCCCTAGCAACAGCTTTCTAGCGAAATCTGAGGTTGTGAAACAACTTCGAAAAATCAGAGTTAAGTTGGTTATGGCTGACTGGTAGCCAACAGCGATAGCCTACTGGTGATGACTGGTCTTCGAGCTGAAATAACTCTTTAGTCATGTCTTCTCGCGAAACACAATACCTGGCTTACTATTCGTGCCGTGTGCATCATTTTTCTTGATTACGGGAGAAAATTCATCCCGAGACCAGTCCACGTTGGTAGTTGACAGCTCCAGTTTGCCCCTAATTACGCGTAAAATAACACACATTTTCCAAGCTAGGTCGAAATATCCTGGCTAGAAACCCGTACGCAAAGGTAAATAGATCCGCTTTGAACCGTGAATATCATGCTATTTCATTGCAAAAACCCTTTGGAAACTAAGCACAATGCGAACTCTTTTAGGTGCACTAATGGGGTACACTTTCATAAAAAACTTGATCGCAGGGTACCTATGGCAGGTTTAGTTGAGCGCGTAGCAGTAGATGTTTAAGCTATTTGTTGACAATGTTGTGAAAAACAAACAAATGTGGGCGAGCTTACGGGAACGATCCGACCTCTAGCTTGGAAAGCACACTCGCTAGCGCCCTAGTGCTACGTTTCAAAACGACTTTCCACACATATGTCAGGACGCTACGTTCCCTTGCACTAGCATGTAGAATAACTACGCGGGAATAAAACTTTCCATAATTTCCTTCAGACAATCGTTACACAAATTTTGAAAGTAGATTTGGGTTCCACTGTCTCAAGACGCATACAGCGGTGTTCACCTCATTGGAAACAGCCGGGCTGACCTACTGACCTTTACTCCATATATCAGACCACCGATATGAAAAGTGGAGATTTCACTAGTTAGAACTTTCCAAAAAAGAACACCCGTCGGTACTAATATAACACTTAATTCTAATTTGGATGGTGGTGACGCAGCAGCTGATTTAGCAGCTGAGATCCTAGCTATTTTCTGAGATCCAAACCCAGCCCGAAACTTCCTTTCGGCTTACTGATGGATACTTTCATGAAAGCGAAAAACTCATAATAGATTGTCCGCACAAGCCAATGGTTCCCAAGCTTTAGGGCGCCTGTTCCCAACAGCAAATTTGTTTCTCGATAGTAAAATATTACCTTACGGATGAAATAGAAGCTACAGATCACTGAATTGCAGGGAAAATCGTCGACAATATCCTCTGTGAAACTGAAAAATTCAAAATCTGTATAAGGAAATCATAAATCTAATGATAATGCTACAAAATAGAAATGGAACCTAATCACCTACCTAAACAAGAAACTTGTAATAATCAATGTCATCAATGGTGTTTTCACAATAGCATACTCTATCACAGTTAAAGTTGACTGGACAAACGTCGACTGGTCGGCGGCTATTGTAGCGACCAACTCAGTAATCTGAATAGCATTATTACATTTTCTCAAAGTACGCCACGAAAGGCAATCCCGCCAAGGGTCAGTCAAAACTCTTTCGAAGGCCCACTGAGGATTTCAAAGAAAGAAAACTGGTTTCAAAGGAATTTCGCATTAAAAACTCGACCACCTCTACTTTACTGGGTGCCGGTTGACAGACGTTCATGAATCCGCCAATATTTCCTAGGTGGCCGGCTCGACTTACAGTGATACTTCCACGTTAAACCGAATAGGTCCTTGGCGAACAACTGGCAAGAGACTTCAATGTCGTTTTGGCCACGTTACCTCAATGTGGATCTCCCAACCAACACCCGTATTTCCCCTTTGATACGAGTGCTGGTTGGGAGATCATACCATAGCTGGTGATAACGTGAATTCTGCGGTGATAATATGAATTCTGCGCATACACAAGCGGCATTATTTAAAGCTACAGGGCCTCTATCAACCGGATGTTCCCTTCTGTGAAGGGTCCACTCATCATCGGGAGAGAAGAGTCATCCCTGTGTCATCATCTTCTGGCCGAGATTTGATGAGAGGAAAATAAGAAAGAGGGAGAGAGAAGGAAGAGGAAGAAACGAGGAAGAAAGAAAGAGGGAAGAGAAAAGGAAGAGAAAGAAAAAGGGAAGAGGAAAGCTTTGAGGTTCACAGATGTAGTGAGATCGCAGCCGATTGCTGCAAAATGTGCGTACTCTGCAGTCCTCGGTCTTAAGCGCTACCTAAGCCAGGAAATGGGAGGAAGTGATGCGAGAATCACATTTAAAGCTCACTTTTCCAAACACAGGACACTGCTCAAACATGCTCAAGGCGGACTCAAGCGACAACTCGTACAGAAAATTTGACCACGTGAGTATTTCGTCATTCACTCGATAGAAGCTCATCGTAAAACAGGGACCTCACATGATAGAGAGTACGGTATGAGACAGAGATCATCCCCTCTGCGGTCACTATGACTGTACATTCCAACTGTTCATGCATAATAGGATGTGCCAGGGCTCCTGCTTACCAACTTGTCCTTGGCTTGAACGTATGTGGGCTGGGTTTGGCGCGACGCCGAGCCGTTTTTCACTAACTGTTGCCGCTTGTATGCTAACACCTGACAGAGAACGACCTGGCCGCCTCACAGACACACCCCAGCGTCTAAGGGAACGACTACTTTCTTTCTCTGTCAAACATTACTTTGTAGTAGTGGGCCTCAGGTTCATTGTTGAAAATATTGAAACTAAACCTAGCGCTGCATGTATGTCTAAAGTAAAACATACCGTTTTCCAAAAGCACTTCGTAACACGCCATCCAAGCAGTAGACCCACACATGAGAGAAAATATGGATTGATTAGGTGGAATTTCTAAATCAAGAATTTCAGACCGTAGCTTTCAATACACGGTATCTGCTGTGTACTAACCATTGAATAATGCCAGTAGGACTTCGGCAACCACCATAACGTCTTGTAGATGTTCAGATACTGTAGAAATAACGCCAGAACCGAATATAGAAACAATGTGCATTCGAAGAACAGCTCTCCTTGTGTGAATTGCATATCGGGCCAGACTGGATGCACTGACACCGTAACACCGGTAATCGAATTCGAACAGTTATCATCAGTGCTTTGCACTCCACTATAATACCGTACATATCAGATTTGACAGTACTGCCTCAAGCTCACAGTGGCCGCCGAGACTCCACCATGGGCGGTGGGTGGGAGTGCCACATGTGTAAGTGTTTGTCAGTGTGTGTCGTTGCCCTTTCTTTTGTCTTTCCATATCTTTCTTTTGTCTTTTCATAGTTGTCTCACCTTGCAAGTTCTGTAAATCACTACTAAAAACCCTGCAAACTCTTGTCATGCTTGGTAAAATGCTGATAGCTTCATTTGATTCCCTATTCCATCTTCTTCCAAGTCTTGAGCAGTCATTTTGAAAAGTTCAAGGGCTCATCATAAGGAAGGTGATCATAAGGTTTACAGGGTGCTGGCAAGGTTGTACGGCATTCATTTGTATACACTTCTTAGTGGTACGCTACCAAGGGCTTCGACTGCGTTCATACTTTGCGTAAGCGTTTCGAGCGTACGCCTTCGCTTTCAGCGACCGCCCGCGAAACCCTCCAAACTCTGACGCACGCTAGATCGATACCTATACTTTCCCAGTTGCTTAGAGAGCTGTGATGTGCTCGAAACGCTGACGCAAAGTACGGACGCAGCCTTACAGGTGTGGCACTCCCACAGCTACCATCATAGGAAATTGTTTTGGAGAAATCAGCGGAAAAACCTACCCAGCGGCTGGCTGCGGGCCAACAAGCTGCACAGGTGCATTCACATGCTTACGCTGACGAGGAGGTGCCATAGATGGCAAGTGGCCAGGAATTCACTGAACACTAGCTTCCTACTAGACGTTGAAAACCTCCTAAGGGCCTGAAATTGCGCCTTCTTGACCTTCTCCTTATGACAGAAATGATTCCTCGAAAGCGAGATTGGAAAGAACTAGCTCCAACTTCATTAAATCATACTATGAACCGCTCGAGCTGTATTAACTGTTGTAAGATCAATCATGCAAATATTTCATTTTGTGTGGAAATCAACCGATAAATATGTTGCGAACCGTTGACAAAACCAATAACAATTTATTGAAAACAACGAATCAACATTTTACTGCGGCGGTGGAGCTCCTCTTCCGAATCCAGCGCGGTAAGGCATAGCAGATCCTGGTCCGGCTTCAGTGACCTTCTCAGCGACTCTGTACGCATCACGATCTCCCTCTTTTCCAGGAACTGAAAAATTGTTTTGGAATGGTATATACCGATCAGATTCATTTGGAATGGTATATATTGACCAATCGCAAGAAAATGCTCGTTACCACTATTGAAAAGCAATACACATTTCAAAAGGCTAACCCATAAATACGCATCTTGGTAATAAAAGATAAAAGTAGTCTTCGCCGTTGATCATCCCTTGTTCTGGATGCGGCAACGCCATTCTACTTCCATTAAGACGCTTAGTGCTTACTGAACGCGTTGTGGCCTAATACAATGACTGGGCGGTGGCCAGCCAAGTGTACAATCAGTCGTTGTATCCTCTTTTGGTTCCAGACGAATACGGTGGTAGGCAATGTTACCGTCCCGCGGATGGTAAAGGCTTGGGTTGGCCTAGGCGGGAGTCGACTGGGCAATGTTGGAACCCGGCCGTCGCACGGTGGATAAGTGCGCCTACTTGTCACTACACCGCACCTCCGCCTCGGTAATCGTAATCGAATTAATTCCATTGATAAACATGTGGTAATAAAACCAGAAATCTACGTACCTTACATTTAAGGCGATTTAAAAGTTTTTATCACATGCGGAAATATGGGGCGGATCACAGCAAGCTTGGATTACTACTGAGACTAACGCAACCGCCACGGGACCGTTTTCCATTTTCAGATTTAGAGCGGGTAAGCGATCACCGAGAACGAGCGAAAACGACTGTACCGAACGATATATTCCTTGTGCGTTCGCAGAAAAAAAGAACAGGGTTGTGGCTGCATTAGACGCTATCCCCCCCACAGCCCCATGGCATCCGCAGCTAACGAGACCATAATAACCCTACAGGGTTGCGCTCAGCTGCTAAAAAAGCTACCATAAATTACTTAACTATGGGCAAAAAGGAACTCCTCTATATTTGTTGAGAGTCCATCGGGCCCACTTGGCCTGATCTTGCAGAGGTGAAGTTCTAGATCTTCAACCATGATTAACTTCCCCGAAGCCATAACAAACTAGTATGCTAATTTTGTCCGTAACTCAACATTGCTTGCGTATAGTTTTCGATTCGCTCTACTGCGCCCGTGAACAACAGTGACCCGGAAGCAAAAACCTGAACACCGCTCTAATCAAGAATGATGGCGGGTTTTCGCATTAAAAAAATCAATTATTATACTTCGCATACTGTAACATGAGACGGACCACTATGGAGTGCAAAAGGGTATCTATTGATCTAAAGAGGGCATAAAACACGTAAACTACCCGCAAAGGCGTCAGAGTATGGAATTTTTGTCTAGCTCTTCCGAGAAATAGATATCATTCACGAGCGAAAAAGTTTTTTTTTTGTAAATAAAGTGCACCAAAATTGACTATCTCAATTATAATCTCATTCTCACATCGCCTTGTGCATTGACAATATTTAGCCTATTTACGTCAAGTTTATTCAGATGACAATATAATTGACTAAGTCTTAATTTGGCTGTCACCGAATATTTAGGTTTCATTTTCGCATAGGTTTCAAACCTTTGGGTGAGAGTCAGTAATTCACGAGACCCAAAGCTATAACTATAAGGAAGTCTTCTTCCGGACGGCGCGTTAGGCCGCGTTCATACATGATGCAGAAATGCGGAATATGCAGAACTGCGGAATTTGCAGAAAGGAAATATATACGTATCGATCTGAAAACTGCATTTCTTCAAAATTCGCGCAGAATTTGCCGAAACGATCAGAAATACGGACAAAGAATTGATAGGGATCGATTGGTTCTTGCCTGCCGTCGTGCGGAATTTGCCGTCGTGCAGAATCTGCAGATTCTGGGCTAATGCCGTTTGACTCCAGCAACATTCGCACCGAGCTCATTTTTAACTGCCTAAGTGGTAGGCCGAGAGGGTCCGGTAAAACTTGTATTAGGGTATTCAACATCCTGATCACGAAGTATGACTTACCATTTTAGATGAGAGATAATGGATGACACACGATTAACCGATGCGCTCTTGCTAAGGATCGACCAGGAGGTAATCGTAGTGTCCGCTTGGCGGGCAGCTGACAAGCAGTAAAATGTCCAACTAATCAGCAACAGCAAGCATTGTTAAACATCGGCCTCAATATACAAGTTTTTCAGCGGATTTGGTGACGTTAGGAAATGTGAATATATCGAGCTCGTGCCGAGTTCTCAATCGACTACCACACAACCTTCGCCCCCCCCTCAACACAACGTCACCAACCAGCGAATCTAGCACCCGGCAGTACTTCTGCAGACTCACCGCAACACGACGCAAAATTCCCGCGGGATTTGAACAAGAGAAGATAGACGACAGAGGAAAGGATAGTGATGGGGATCGATCGATGCTATCGCATTCTGGGCAAATTTCCGACTTCTGCATAACTCACTGTTTTTGAAATCGATAGACATATTTTCTTTGTTCTGCAAGTTCCGCGGTTCTGCAGATTCCACACGTCTGCAAATTCCGCAGTTCTGCACATTCCGTGGTTCGGCATTTCTGCATCATGTATGACGCGGACCTATGCACTAGCATCATTCACATGTACACTGCGTTGAAAGCACCGAGTCTAGGCCTCCTGACGCGAATGGCAGGAAATACTCTCCAAATCTCGCGGAACTGAGGAGTAAAAGTAACAGAATACTCGCAAAACCACAAGAAACAGATCACGGCTTATCTACAACACCTTTTATGAAAGTTTCGACGTAAACTTGGAATTGAACAATCCTTACTAACCCACGCCCCGCCTGACCGCACTGGACCTAGGATCATACACCTAATCAAACAGCTGCTTGCTAAAGGCACGGCCTGCTTTTAATGATGGTGAGTTGTGCGGACCAATTAGTAATGACAAAATGGTGACCGGTTCAGTATGAAACAAGGAAAAATCATTCGAAACCCCGTGATGAACCGCGCTAGCATGCGCATGAGGCGAAAAGAGGACGCTGCTTGAGCAGTTCTCAGTTGCTGGTATCGTAAGGATATGAGTTCTTCCGCCCTATCACCTTACTCTCACCATTCGGAATAGAAAAGGTTAGTAGCAGAACAAACGCACCACCAGGAAGCCTTCACAAATGACAGCTGGGCATTGATCAGGGCAGTGGGCGGGGCTTCGCCCTTGCCGCGATCAGTTTCCTCGTGTATTTTTGAGCTGTGAAAGTGGTTCGCTGCCGATAGTTTCGGATAGACTAACTTCTTCATAAAAAGGTTTCCAAGGTCAACACGGTGCGTCCCTAGACGCATATGAAAATAAAGAAATAACGCTACGAATTTCAGACATAGCTGTTCGAATGATGATTGTCAGCGGGTCCTATCCTCAAAGCCCAGCACCGTATCAAAAGCAAGATCCCGCAGCAAAACACGCTCCCAGTGGTAGGGCGCAAACGAGTAGCGCGTTTGGCTACGTTAAGGCGTGTGGCTGGCCGCGCCGGAGCGTCGACGGAATCGAGAGACTGCGCCCGTGTATTACTATCCTCCAGCCTCTCTCCTGTGCACTTCTGACTAGAAGAAGCGGCACGCTACTGCAGTTGCTGACCTCCCCACGCAGGACCAGGGTCTACGGAGGTGAGTGCAGTGTCTTAACTAGCACCGGTAGTGAGTGGAGGGAATCCGAAGGTAAAACGAACCACATTGGGCTTCTCTTATCGTAAAGCTTTAGATAATAATGCCGTCAATATAGCACAGGATCGTTCATAATCTTTGAAGGGAAACGAAGCATGAAAAATTACTAATGTTACGTCATGAATTGAAACCAGTCACAGTTTGTAGAAACTACTAGTCAATTCTTGTTAAGACAGAGCGGTACCAGGGAATATCGAAAATGCAAAATGACCCCCCCCCCCCAACTGTGACCAGCTTTGGTTGATAAGCTTCAATCGTGTTTTTTTTTAATTACGGTACACATTCGCTCTCTAAAAACCAAGGCTTTCAACCCAGTCTTGCGTAAAGCTTTGCAATGAAAGTAGATAACTACTGTGGCACACTTGTGTGTGCATGACAAATAAGTAAATAAACAAATAAATAAATAATGAAAGATGAAACAAAAGAAAGCAATTACAGTACACGTATCCATGCGAAAAACGAAATGGTGAAAACCAACCTGCGCGAGGAATGCGTTCGCGGATGTCAGTGGGTGCGCGGATGTCCCTTGGCTTGCTCTTAACGGTCGAGGGAACAATTTCAGCCGGCAGATTCAAGACCTCTCTCAAATGAGCGATACCCTCATCGGTCAGGTACCAATAGTAATGTCGCCATGCGAACTGCTCCTTAACAAGTTCACGGGAAGCCAAGCTCTGAAAAGAAAAGGTTATAAAAGGTTTCAATATTTATTTCGCGAGTTTAATTCATAGTGAATCTTTCTTTTAAACGGGAAACATGTAAGTTGACTGGTAAAATAATGAATTCGAACATGCCTTCAAAGCCTTGATAACTTCAAGATTGGTCACTCCGGGAATATTTGGGTGTTGTTTAAGATTGAAATCTTTCTTAGCGACGGCCACTCCCTCGTTGAAGAGGTACTCATAGATGGCTTTTCTATTTTTGCTAGGAATCAGCATCCTGACCGCAAGTTCTGCAAAGAAAATGATTTTTCCATCAGTTAGGGAACTTGCGACGTGAAAAAGACTTAGCTAGTAACTCAACCACGAAATAACGAACATGTAGTAACAATAACTGATACTAACACTACTAATAATAAACAACTTAATTGAATAAAGCCACTGACAAGTAGCAACATTTACAACCTATTGCCGGATAATTCAAATCGAATTTATCTATATCGCGAAAGATCTCATAATCAAAACCTGCCAAAAATAATTAGCGAAGAAACGCGATTTAGGAAAAAGCGTTGGGAATTGGAAAGTCGTGAAATTCCGTCTGCATGAGCTACCGTAATCACCCAGCTGCTTGGATCCCCCTAGGAACAGCACACCAACAACTCCACATATAAATTTAAGAGCATAATTTGGATTCAATCCTGGAGCTTTTCACAACATAACTATACATTTCTTCAGAAAGATCATAATTTAAAATTTTTTCAAGCAGTCAGTTGTCGCAAATCTCAACTCCATCACAGGGACTATCCTAAAATGCAAAAGAAGTGAGCGGAGTTCCTTTACAAGAGTAGACTGGAAGATTCATCTTTTAAAGCATTTTACACTACTACAGCATTTATATAAAGTGCAGATATCGCCTTATTTTTGCAAAAATCCATCGAAATATGCAGGCGGTCCCGCATGGAAGAGTAGGTGAGACTGCGTGGCAGCCCATTTTGAACGTAGCTATTTCCTTTTTATTTTTACCGCAGAACCTAAAAGTTTTTTCTTCAATAAATTGAATCGCTAGTGAATATTGTTGGTATTCACAATTATAATGTTGCAAAGCATCAGTTGGCTTCTGGTTTCAAGTTGTAGTGGAGCGTCATCTACGGCTAATTAATTGTAAAGTGGGACGGTGAAGACGCTCCTCGTGCACTTGAGAAATCTTTGCGCTTCTGCGCCTCACAAGCGGTGTTTCTATTCATGTATTCAAAATGCTTGCTGAATTGAAAATGGTCATGGTTTTAGACGTTGTTTTGCAGTAACATCGAACCAGGGCTCTGCCAACCATGAAGTTGGAAACCTGCGTATATTCTGGTTACAAGATCTACCCTGGACACGGAAAACGTGTCGTACGTCCCGATGGAAAGGTGAGTATATCTCTTACTCGTTCTCATCGTTTTCGTTTATGCTTTTTCTTAAAGACTTTATAGTTATAGCGTAGCGCGTTATAAAAAGCAAACGCAGGAGTTTAGAAGAATCTGCGCGGTGATAAAGTAGTAAGGGGGGGGGGGCATTTGGCCAATGCGAAGCGTTCAAAATAATTTTATTCTCATGTGAGAACCGACATCCTGCAAAACTTCTGGAAATACCCATTTATTAATAAAAAGGAGTGAATATGAAAAATAGAAAGCAGCAATAGCTTGCATTTAAATTTGAAAGGGTAATCGTTATTCTGACTATTAGCATAAGGGCATTCATACTATGCGTTTCGAACGATTTCGTTCCAGCGTTTTGTGCGCATGAGCGGCTAAGGAAGTGTATATCATTTACTATCGCTGAAAACTCTAGCGGGCGCTCAAAACGCTGGATCGATAACTATAAGTGTCCTGATCTCAAACGCTGACAGACGCTCGAAACGCCCTCGCGAAGTATGAACGATCTCACAACGTCTAGTCTTCACAAGTTTGTTAGAAACAGACGTCATGATAATCCCTTATGTTTGTGCCAAGTGAATCTCTCATTTTACTATCCCAGTGGGTTTCCAGGATTAAAGGTTGTTGATGAAAGAGTCGTCTATCTTGTGACCAAGCTATTTGACCGTTTACTTGATGAGTAGCTCCCACAAATTCATGGTAAAGCCACGGCCACCTTGTGATTCTTTTGACATAATGGACATTTTCGGCGACTACGCTCAAGCCCAACCAAATGACATTTTGAGTTCTGCGACAAGTCCACGTTCCTTATTTTTTTGTGTTCTTATTTCCTCATATGATTTTTGATGCATCGCTAGAAGATTGCAAGCGCATTATTAGAGCTCATTTCATCGCGATGATGAACTGAGTGTCGAAAATGCGCAAATAATAAGGCTTTCTTATTCCCGTATTGTGCTACAGTTCACAGATGTGAGTTTTTCACATTTTGAGCTGCTATGAGCTTGCGGTCGAGATGAGCCGACATTTGGCCATGCTGAGAAGATTTTGAGGATGCTCGCGTTTTGTCATGAATATTTGCAGAACCCCAGCGAGTTTAATCGCAGAGATATTTTGATTTTATGTACATGTTCAGTGCTGTAGTAAAATACATCAATGACGGATTGACATTTATCGTAAGAACTGTTCGAATTAGTTGAGTAGTGCATTTTAAGGTGCAAATTTTCCTTTCCGCAAAGACATTCCGATCCACTAAGCTGAAGCGCAGTCCAAGAGACATCCGCTGGACGGTCCTGTATCGTATCAAGCACCAGAAGGTAAGGCAGTCGGATATCATTTTGAATGTTACAACAGGTCTATTATTGGATTTTTCTATTTGTCTACTAGTTTCGATTACTATTGTCCTGCAGGTAACACAACTGATTACTAGCGCTGGTCGCCGTAGAGGTGACATCTCACTTGCTGTCCTCGACACAGGGCCTGGAAACTCTTGTGAAGCTATGAAATGGCACTTAGCTTGTGCGGGCCTCCTTGTAAAGATCTGTGAACTGTTGTCAAGTGACATGGTGCTAACGTAGTTTAGGGTGAGGGGGTGGGGAGGGCACTCGCCCAGCGCCTCCGGATCTCTTGCCCCAATGAAGGCTTGGTCTAGTGGAGGCATGCTTTCTTTGCAGGACTATCCCTCAGCATCTCTCTTCGTCTGCTTTGCAATCCTGAGCCTTCCTCGGAAAGAGACCCAGAGGACGGCCGAGTGTCCTCGCCCGACCACCCAACCACGTTAGCGCCGTTAACAACATTTTTAAAAAAAGTCATAAGGCCGCGTTCATACATGATGCAGAAATGCCGAACCACGGAATGTGCAGAACTGCGGAATTTGCAGACGTGTGGAATCTGCAGAACCTGCGGAACTT